CACAATATATATATATATATGCTCACCCCCCCCGTTGACAGACCGCGGCGCGCATACAGTGTGTTCCTGGCAAGAGACTCTGCTGATTAAAACATGCTCATGATTGCAGCCGTTAGCTAAACACATTGGTATTAGTACTAACATTGGTATTGAGCCTGGTATAAATTTCTATAATCACAGTAATACCCCTACACGTACTGATATCATATCGAAATTAATACTAATACTAAACTAGCCCGAATACTAAGATTCATATCCCTACGACTATTTATATTCGTATTTACAGTAACTTTGATCCAAGTCTGAAAGCTTATACTATTATTAGAGCTATTACTGATATTAGAGCTATTCCTGACATCAAATTGAATACACATACCCCTCACACGAATACTGTTAGTAACAGTTATTGTACTCATATCGAAATTAATACTAATACTAAACTAACCCGAATACTAAGATTCATATCCCTACGACTATTTATATTCGTATTTGCAGTAACTTTGATCCAAGTCTGAAACTTATACTATTGTTAAAGATATTACTGATATTGAAGCTATTACCGATATCAAACTGAATACACATACTCCTCACACGAATACTCTTAGTAACAGTGATACTAGAACTAATTTCATTTGTTTATTCATGCTACTACTACTTCGAATATGAAACAATAATACTAATACAAATAAACCTGCGAATACAAATCATCATATTAATATGAGTATGAAAACTAATACTGTTATTAATACAAATGCCAACATTTATACTGATATCAATATTGACATAAGTATTCATACTCCCACGAATATGAGTACGCATACTCTTATGAATGGTAGAAAAAATTTCCAAGAATACCGACACTAAACACCTATATAGAGGCTAAGGCGAATTTGCATAATACCAATACTAATATTACCATGAAAACTCCTACGAACACCAATAACCATGTCCATATTGATATNNGTATACATACCATACCTGCATACACTTTGTGAACGTATTCATGTACTACTTAGTACTTTTCACATACTCATATACCGTTATTAAAATACTAGTATATTCGTGTATGAATATACTAATATGCTGATATACCAATACAGGAATACTGGAATATACAAGTAAATTGAGATATTAACATGCTACCAGACCAACATATTGATTTACATATAGTTTGTTAGATTGATATACTACCATAGTCGTATACACTAATGTACTTATGTACCCCTATACGAATATATTAATATACGAACTTACGAATATACTAATATACTGACGTACCAATATACGAATGTACTCATGCACCAACGTATTAATACGCTAATATACAAGTATACATATATAATACTGTACTGATATAACAAAGGAATGATATATGAACCTGCAAACATATGAGTGTAGTAGTCTACCGACATATCGAAACTATGTCTAGTTTTAATGCACATACTGGAGCTTCTGCGAATATTAACACTGCCATTAATACCAGCATTAAGACTGAGACTAATGCTAATACGAGGACTAATTCTAACACTGACATTCACTCTGGCACTAACACTCACACTAACTTTTATTTACTGATATTGATAGTAATACTTAAATGAAACACAAATAATATATTAAAGCCAATACTAGTAAATACTACTGTGANNTGGTAGTGGTTCTAGTCCGATGCGGAGACTAGCACGATAAGGCGCCCGGGTGGCCCCTAAATAAAGGTATTGTGGAGCACAGGTGTATATACGAGGGGGGTACGGATACGCTACATAATAATCTCACTTGAGACGTATAGCCAGAATTTCCAAAATTCTCTCCCCTAACTTTCCGAATTTCCAAAATTATTCCAAAATTTTCAAAAATTCAAAAAAATTTCCAAACATTCCAAAATTTCCAAAAACTTCCAAAATTTCCAAAATTTTCAAAATTTCCAAAACTTCCAAAATTTCAAAAAAATCCAAAATTTCCAAAATTTCCAAAATGGCCCGACCTAGTGGACAGGATTTTCCAAAATATAGGGGCGGACCTTTTTGGAAGTTTTGGAAATTTTCGAAATTTTGGAAATTTTGGAAATTTCGGAATTTTGGAAATTTTGGAATTTTTGGAAATTTGGTGGTACGGATACGCTACATAATAATCTCACTTGAGACGTATAGCCAAAATTTCCAAAATTCTCTCCCCTAGCTTTCCGAATTTCCAAAATTATTCCAAAATTTCCAAAAATTCAAAGTTTTCCAAAATTTCCAAAAATTCAAAAAAATCCAAAATTTCCAAAATGGCTCGACCTAGTGGACAGGATTTTCCAAAATATAGGGGCGGACTTTTGGAAATTTCGAAATTTTGGAAATTTCGAAATTTTGGAAATTTTGGAGTTTTTGGAAATTTTGGAAATTTTGGAATTTTGGAAATTTTGGAATTTTTGGAAATGTTGGAAATTTTGGAAATTTTGGAAATTTTAGAAATTTTGGAAATCTTGGAAATCCGGGAAATCCGGAAAGTTGGGGGCGAGAATTTGGGAAATTTTGGAATTGAGTTTGTGAGGGCTGATAGCCACC